CAAACCTATTCTGGTTTTTGTTTGTTTTTCTTTGCAGTGCATCAGATGGTGGAGTTTCCTTATGAGACGCGGTCGGACAGTTTCTACTTTGTCGACAACAGACTGGTCATGCACAACAAGGCCGACTACGCCTACAACGGAGGACAATGATGGTGGCTTCCTGGCATGCGAGGATCTGCTGCTCACATCTGTTGACAGACATGTACACACATGCATGCATTCTGCAGAACATCCAACTCGAACGTTCACCCATGCCGGCGCTCTTACAGGCTTGTTGAAGCTGCCTCTTGTTTCATAGAGGTCCAGCGCCGGCTTGTTTCATTTTCATGGTGTTTTCATCTTGCTGCAAGTTGATGGTAGTCTTCATTAGACATAGGAACAGGAAGAGGCTCCATTTATCATCAGTTGTTTAGTTTAAAATGTTGACAGATATTTATTTGATACTTATAAAGAGGGCTAATCACTAATGGCTGTGGAACATGTGTTTAAAACAGGTCAAACAGCCATTGGATGGATGATCAGACTTCTTTTAAGTGTTCCGGCTATACTATTGAAATCGCCAACACACACACATGCAGGCATCTGAACACACACTCAATCCCCAAGTGGCACCCATAGTGTTTGTCAGAAGCAGCTGCCGCCTCCGCAATCCACTCCAGACAACACCAGGGGAGAGGAGGGGAAAAAAAGAGAAACGATCCACAAAAAACAGGCATGTCAAACACACATGGTTACTCCTGCATTCTCCTCTCTCTATCCCTTTCATTTCTACACAAAAAGACACGTCCGCACTAGAGCCGAGTCTCATCAAAGGTTTTTTTTTTCTTTTAAATTTAAGCCTGTTTGATTTTAACATGAAACAAGATCAGGTAACAGCTAACTCTGCTTTAATTCTTCAATAATCTGTTAAATAAAAACAGCCAACAGTTTGAAATAGAAAATCTGTTTTTAAGAGCGTTTTAATATCATGATGCATGCAATGATACGTCTTAAGAAAATATTTATGTAAAGAAAAAGAAAAAATAAAAAAGTACGGATATTCATTTCAAAGAATATGGAACATTTTGGTTTTAACGTGATGGGGTGTTTATTGAAAGAAGATCTTTTGCATTTAAGAATATTTAAATAGGAGGAAGAATCTTGAAACGCTAATAAGTGAAATATTCATTTCATGATGAAATGTTGAACATAACGTGAAAATAAAGAGATAAAATCGTGAAACTGCTGATTTATTTTTCTTATTTTGTCTGTTTCTTTAAAAAAAAAATCAGTTTTCTTTTTTTTAATCCTTTTTTTGGCCTTTCAGCCTCTTAACTAGCGAAAAATCGTGAGTATTTTAACTTTACTCTCAAAATGTCGCCTTTTTTCTTGTAGATTTGTGACGTGTAAACAATAAAAAAAGTACTTCCTTATTAAATCTTCTAGTGATTCTAAAATCAGATCTTTCTTCATCTCTGATTGTGATTTTGAGGCGTAAAGTTGTCAGGATGAAACGTGGACAAAGGTCTGCTTTCTGTTTCCTTCAAAGTGGACTGTTGTATTTCCTCTGCTTACTTTGTTCAAATGTTGTTGTTTGAAGTACAAGCTGTTTGTAAAATATATACATATATAAATAAATACATATAGTTTGTAAAAAAAAAACAAACAAACAAAGAACTGAGTTAATAAATGAACTGAGTTAATAAATGGACATTTTCAGAAATAAAATTTGTCCTGATTGTTTCATTTTCCACAAGGGGAGAAAATACACCGGTTAGATATCAAATAATTTTGAGCGTTCAACGAGACTCATGCTACATCTACAATATCAACACACAGCCAAATATCTTTATAGCTCTGCAAATGAGTAAATATGAAGGCTGAAGGAGCCAGACAATCAAACATGTATATGTTTTTATGAAGTTCAAGGAAAATTTACCTGAAGATTTTGAAAATGTTCGTAGAAGTTCCATAGATGGCCACTAGGAGGGGGTATTTCACAGTAGTTTAATTTCATTCTGATTAGACCAGAGAAACAATAACTATAGATCAGACTGAGCTACTGGAGGATAATATTTCTATTTGCTAAATGTAGAGATAATGAAAAAGTTTTAGAAAAACTTATTTTCCTTCCTTTCACAAGCCCTTTAAGTTTTTTCTATCATGCAGAAGTGAAAATGCTGCAAGTACCATATTTATATTGTTATTATGCTGTTATATAGAGGAAGAATACAACTTATTTTGTAAATAGTTATTTAAATTATAAATTCTGATGTAAACATGCTTAATGGGGGGATTTATTTAGATGGAAATCAAGTCTTTTTGTATTTATTCTTATTTTTCATTCGTTCTTTTAAACCTTTATTTCTTGCTCCCATGCTCCAAATCTTTCAATCTCCTCTGCCTTTCCCTGTGTCTTGTTTCTCTCCACACCTATGCAGCTCTCGCTCTGTTTTTCTCTCTGCCTCTCTCTTTTCTTTCCTCTTTCTCTCACCTGGTAACCAGACCTCTGGAGAGAAGTGTTGAGTTTCCACTTTCCCAGAGAAGAGGACAATCTGAGCCACACAAAGACCCACAATGGACCCCCTCTGCTCACGCCTCCCTTCGCTCCGACACTGCACAGCTGCACACACATACAGACACACACAATGAGCATACACACACACCCTCTGTTTTTATTTGCTCTTTCTTCCGCATTGGATTCCTATAGCTCCTCTTTGTATGATGTTTTCTTCATCTCTTCTCCGTCCAGAACCTTCACTATCTCCCCAGAGCTGGCCCTCCTGGGGCACAGTACCCATCTTTCACCTTTCTCTTTTCCTTTACAGCTCCCATACAACCTCTATTATTCTATCAAATTTGGGCTTTGAGATAAAAGACGACTGCTGATGACCCACTGGGATGTCCCAGACTGTGAGTGTGTTGTTGCAGCTGTGGCTGTGAGGTTATGCAAACAGGAAGTCGGCGACGTTTTCAATATTACAGCAGAAATAAGTGATTTTTGGAGCTACACTGACACGTACAACATCAGGGTATTAAGTAATAGCAGGTTTAGGAAACCCTGTTAAAGGCATAACCTGAGATTTCTTCACAGCACTAAAATGTTTTCTTGTTTTCCAACAAATACTAAGAAAAACGTCTCTTTCGTTATTACGTTTTCCATCATATTTCTTGCCTGCTTCTTGAATACATAAAATAAATCTTAGATATGAAATGAAGGCAAAGCAATGAGTGAATGGTGATTTTATACCATATGCTAGACATATGCATATTTTAAATATTGAAGTAAAAATGCGTCACTGACCAAATTAACATGTAATATCTGTATCCAAGCTCATTCAAAGTGATCCAATCAGATAAGATTTGTTCCCTGTTGAATAAAAAATATTATATATATATATATATATAGACCTACAATTTAGAATTTCACTATAATAGACAAAAAAAACACTAGTAGCTGCATTAAAATAATCTATAAATTGTGATCTTTCAAATAAAACTAATGATTTGTACCCCTAAGTGTCGGAGTTGGCCTAATTGGATGCCATGGAGATGAAACCAATGTGGTCTGTCTTTGTTTAATGGACTTTAAGGGTTCTATGTTGATCGAAATGAACAGAAGTATCCAAACATTTGACTTTGAAAATTTACTAAGAAAATAAAAATACAAAAAAAAAAATCAATAAATAACAAACAAAACACTTGCTGACACTATTTTAGAAAAGGCTCCTAAAATTACGCCGTAAACGGTGACAGTTTTTCACATTTCAGCCTTTTTGCTCTCAAGCTTTTAACTTTTTAAACTGTACTGTTTTTAGGATATGAAATATGAATATTGGCAGCAATTCATTTATTTTAAAGACTGTAAGATAACACTTGTCTAGATAACGGAATTCTATATCTACAGCAACACATTTAGTTGGAAGGGAATATTCGTCTGCCAAACCAGCAAACAGATGCTCTGAACAGGAAAGCACACGGTAGCGGATGTGTGATTATATGGGCTGCATGCCAAAAAGGCTGCAGGGAGAGACAAATAGAGTTACAGTAAAGTTAAGTTACAGTAAATATGATTGTACCTCTTTGAACTCATTGTTCAGAAAGGTAAATTAATATAGGAGTCTGACAGTGATCCATGGTAAACTTTCTAGTTTTAGGTCATGTATGATAACCTATTTTTTCTGCCTTTTAATGAGAAGAAAATCTCTAAGGTGTTTTCAGTTTCTCACAATCCTGTTTTATATTTTTTACCTATTCCTCCAGCCAAACTGAAGTCCTCATCCATTTTGTGTCGATTTTAGTTGTATCGGTCTCTAAAACATCTCAAACTTTAAGATCTTTCTTCCTGTGTCAGTTTGCAAACTTGAAGCAGCTTTTCAAAAAAATGTCTTCTCCTTCTCAGAGCCTCCTTTCATCCCATCCATCCTCATAAGATGTTTACCGTTTTTTCCTCGTTGTTGATTCACACATTTCGTACCAAAAAAGGGTTTTCAAAATAATCAATATTTTGATGCTATCAATACCTAAAATGTGTTGCAAATATGTTATTTTATTAATGATAGTTTGTTACGACCTCAATTGTTCATTGTTTCCTGCCTAACTCTGTTCGATCTCTAAATATCACTCATATCATCCATCTGTTCGTTTTCATTATATACAGGTCAGCCCCGCTATCAGGGCCGGATCATTGTTTCATGTTTGTTTGTATTTTTGTTTGTTATTTTTGTAGTTTGAGGGTTTCCTAGGTTAATATTGCCGTTCACAGAGGCCAGCGGGTTGAGAGGGTTTAGTGTTTGTCTTGTCGTCTCCTGATCGTGTCCTGGCTCTTGGAGGAGTCCAGTTTAAAGTCCAGTAATCCTGGCTCCAAGATGGAGTACAGTTTAAAGTTTCACAGTAATCCTGGTACCATGTCTTGTCTCTGTTCCTCAACTGCTCAGCCTGCCTGTCTGCATCTGTGTGCTTCTGTCTAAGCTCATTGCTGGACTCATGGAACTCTGAACCTGCCTTCCTCTTCTGTGGATTCCTGGAACCCTGAATCTGTCTGTTCCTGTTTGGATCGGAACCCCTGACCGGGCTGCGGACTCTGTCCTGTATGATGTTTCCCCTGACCTGGATCAGATTCCTGCCTGTTCACTGAGGTTGCTGCATCGTGGACACTGATGGGCGACTTTGCGCAGCAGCTCGTTTGACAGCTGGATCCTGCCTCCCTCATAGAGGATGGACTGAACTGTTAAACCAGGTAAATGACTCACTCAGATAATCATCTCCTGTCAGATAATTGTGGTCACTTACCTGTGTTTCTTCCTCCAGAGTGTCAGTGATTGGGCTGTGCCCCGCCTCCTCCCTTGCAGCCGCAGCTGTCCGTAGATCCACAGCAGTCCACTTCTGTTCCGTTATGTGTTTTTTTTTTTTGTTTTGTTAATAAACGTTTTGAAGTTTCCCACTGTCTGTCTCACCTTGGACACTGGGTCCATCTGTCCCGTTTTTTGCTCTTCACAAAAAGGAATCCTGTAGCTTCAAGAAATTTTCCACCGACATTAAAAATGGTATAAAAAATGTCTTTTAAATTACCTAAAGAATTACTTTTCTGTGCACAGGTCCCCTCACCTTCCTAAAATGTTTGATGGCAGTATTTTTCTATAAAGGAGATCCACAGATTGGGCTCTTTGCTGTTTATTTTCATTGATTTTCAAGTCACGAGACACAAAGAGTCACTATGTTTGACACGTTTCCTTAAAATAGTTGCGTTCCTCTATTTATTTATTAGACATCAGTAGCTTTTAAAGTCATGACAACATAATCTCAGCATTTTAAAACATCTGTTGTGAATATATTCTTTTCATGTGAAGAAAGTAATAAGGACTATTTAAAAAAAAAACTTATAAAGAAATCCTTACAATAATCACAATCTTATGGGTTAAATTAAAGAGTAAGTTGTGTGTCTTTTCCTGCATTTAAAATCTGAGTTATCTGTATTAACGGCATGGAAGTTGTCCATTATTCACTGCAAGTGCTAACGGCATGTCTGCCTTAACTAATAGTTTATAATGTGATGACCAAATGTGTCAGTTGGTGATTAGACCACAAACCAGAGCTCATAAATCAATAGCCACAGGCCTGTGTCCAGCACTGAACTGTGTGTGGGTCTATCCCATCCAACTACTCACAATTAGCATAAGTTCCCACCAAAACAGCAGCAACAAAAACACTTTCTAGGAATGATCTGTGCTTTCTTAGGCCTT